AGCTCGGATGTGCCTGGCAGGCACATCACTTAGGTGCGAGAAAATGGCTCGAATGAGAAACTTCCCGCACCCGGAGGTTCAAATGGGGTGCACTTACGAATCTTTCAAAAGCGACAGAACTTTCGGTTAAACCTAATTTTCGGTTCCCCACAAGATATATATAATATATAATTTCGCTCTCGCAAAACTTAGCCATCAAAAGATTTTGAGATTTCTCCGTTTCTCAACAGGAATGTGTTATTCGCTATCGAGACTACCTTCAGATATTTATCACTTCATTGCTTCACGCACTTTATCAACTAGTTGGATCAGACCATTATCTAACCAATCTTTTTATTGAAGCATGGCCCACCACATGACATGAGTTTTGATCTCACGACTTTCTGCCGTAAAACTTCCGGTTGTTAGGAAAAAATGGCGCTTTTTATTTGCTTGCTATAGCAATGTTTCCACATATCTTACAAGGAAAGAAAGATTGGTTGAAGTGGCCTTTTGAAATGAGATGTATACTGCCTTGTAGAGCTTGGAACGCTGACTCCAAATCTACCTTTGCTACCTGCTGCGGGCTCCGGGCGAGGAGTTATGAAGGGTTTTGTGAGTAAAAATCTGATTGCAAAAAAGGGTAAAATCAGTCATAACCTTTTCCCAATTTTCGAATGAGGCAGCAACGAATTGGTATATTTGAATCAAGAATATTTATTTATTTATTTATTTACTTATTATTGCACGTAGGGCGCCAACAATTAAAAGTGCAGGTAAATCAAAGAGTAAACATAAACGCTAGAAATGAAAGCATTACTAAATGATGAAAGATCCGATACAACAGTCAGTCTAAGTCAGTTGGACACTACCTTACTTCCATAAACAATGAGATTCTAGCAAAAAATTAACCACTGCACAATGGCTTTCTATGTTTGTGAGTCAGCCATTCTGCGTCATCCACTACGATTGAAGTTTAGACCAACAATGTATAGATATAATGAGCAATAACTGAGGTGGGAACAAGAACATATGCACCTCAGAGGCAACTTCACATCCATCTCTGTATCCCTGTTGTATCTTTCCTAACTGCCATACCCCGACATAAAGGGTAGGGCCTAGGCAATGGGCCAACCATGCGTGCCTCGGTTACATCATCAAATCACCCTTATCCACAAAGTTGGTTACGAGGTAGGAGGTTTTCAAGTAAATTGGTGTGAGAATCAGCAGTAGCATTTTTGCACCAAGTGACCCGACTACCAATTAAGCCCTACAAAAAATGTTACGACGGATTTTAGCCTACTCTCGCATTCATATCTTTACTCACAAAAACCTTCATAACCCCTCGCACAGAAGCCCGCAGCAGACAGCAAAGGCAGATTTGGAATCAGCGTTCCAAGCTGTACAAGGCAGCATATACATCTCAATTCAAAAGGCCACTTCGACCAACCTTCCTTCCCTTGTTACTCTGCAAAAATACTGTTCGACAGAGCCAAGCAAGGCTAAATAATAGCGCTCATACTTGCGCGTCAAGTTTAATCTACGTAAAGTTTGAGACCAAAATCTGAAAATTCTGAACACCAACCATGGGAAAAAATTTTAACTCAAAAAAATCATGTGGAAATCCCAACTTGCTTACGCATACATTCTATATCACACTATTGTATATGCAATTGCTGTATTATTCCTCGGTTATAAATAGAGCAAATAAACCCTTCATATTTTTGTTAAGTAATGCTTATATAATTTCACATTAAAATATATACTACAGACTTTTAGAAGCACAATCGAAATTTTCAGCCTTTCTGTAGGGGCTAGTTTTCGAGAACATTGTTTTGACTTTTTTTGTGCAAAATTGATATTTCGAAAGAACCAGCTTTTATTAAAAGCCAAAAAACTCGGTTACACTCACGAATGCTTGTACTACAGGGCTATTTTTATAAGAACCCCACAGAAATGCTTGCAAAATAGATTACTGTTTTCATATATTTCGAGGAAAACGCAGCATCTGCACGGGGTGTCCCAAAAAATTTGAACATCCCAAAAAATGTAAAAACTGTTTGAACGTTACCAACTCCCTTGTCACCTCTTTCGCCGAGCTCGAGACACCATTTTGTAGAACGAGGTTCAACTTAGATCTACAGTTGGAGCAAATCACAAATCGCTTTTCATTACTGTAGGATTACGGTGGGAACCTCGGGAACCTCGGGATTTTAGGTCATTGAAGGCGATGTTTTACCTTAGAAAGAAAGCCAAACAAACCAGAAACTTTTATGCTGTGGTAATGGAAGCCGCTGATTTCGAATATAAAATTTCCACTTTGCTATGATGTTTCTTTCCTAAGTTATAAGTAAACCTCAGTAAGTGAGTTCCCAACATTTGTCAAAAATCTGATTACACCGTCAAAAAAGGTGAAGACACTCGTAGAAAGTTGTGTAGTGGAATCAGCGTGCACGAAGACTCCAGTATCCGATTTTTTAGAATGTTAGAGAAGAATCTCGTCAAATGGCATATTTCGCAGTGGTCCCACATGCTGAAAGTTCTTACCGTAATTTTACAGTCACGAACTGCGATCGGTGATTCGCTCCATACTGTAAATCTAAGTTGAACCTCGTTCTCTACAGAATGCTGTCTCAAGCTTGGCGAAAGATATGAAAGCGATGGAGTTATCAACAATCAAACAGTGTTCACATTTTTTGGGACATATATAATATATGAATTGATGAAATGTATGTGCCTGAGCAAGTTTTATTAGGAGTTTTCGGAAGAAGTTCTGGGTTTTTTTTTGCTCAGGCGTTCAGATATTTTGAGCTCTTGTTTCCGACAGTCCTGTAGAGTTTATTTTGGTTTATCGAATGCTAAACCTTATGCGTTTTTGGTGTTCGCTTAATTGCGGTGGCAAAGCAAGCAAATGAAAAGCGCAGTTATTTTTGACAACCTGATAGATTTGATATAAAAAAAGCAGCGTCTTTCTTGTTAAATAGTCAAGCAAAAGTCGTTATTCTGTTCCTTGCTGAAGCTTACATGAATTTTATAAATGCTTCAAAGACTCTTCCTGAGTACTTTCAAAAAATACCACAAAATTTATCAACGGGATGGGATAATCATTATCATGGGAATTTGGTAGAAATACGTAAGAGCTTTAAAAGTAGATGGAAAGACCTAGCATCTTCTCAAAAAGTACCCTTTGATTCAAGTGGCTAGGCTGAGATGGAAGACGAAGCTTCGTGACCTAATTGAGGCTAGGTAATGATCAGGGAGCACGCGCGGGGAGATGCACATTGCGTCGCGGGCGCAAGCGGCTTTATTTAGGTCACAAAGTCGCGCCTTCCAGCCGCTAAGCCAGTTGAATCAAAGTTTTGTTTTTATCCTTCTCGGGTCGAAAACGCATGTGTGCAAAATTTTAACTCAATCAGCTTAAGCCCAGCGCCGTCTGTAGGTTACCCACATGACACAAATGTACAATTTTTCTGGTTTATATTAGGTTGTCCCATAAGTCTTTTCATATTCGGACCTTCAATTCGATATTTCTCAAGAACTAGAGCACCTAGAAGGCTGCAAATTTGTGGCAGTAATTCTGAGTTGATACGCTATATAAACACTTATTTGCGGGTAACACGGAACTGATACAGGCAAAGTTTGAAAATTGAGCACATTATTTTTTTCTCGGTTTCTAGCCTTCAGAAAAATGCAGCAAGGGCATGTATACATATCCGATGAGGAGAGTATATGCATGAGAAAGCAGGAAATTTGCAGAGTTGTTTTGAACTGAGATATGATAATTTTCGTTTTTTCGAAAAAATTGGAAATTTTTTTATTTTGCCTCGGAACTCGTTACAGATTGAACCTGTTGCAAACATTTGAAAGCCATCTTGTAGAGCTTGCTTTGATCTTTAACACGGTATCCTGCATTTTATTAGGAGTTCAAGAAGAACTGATTTATGTCGCTGAAAAGTCAGGTATGAAAAGACTTATGGGACAACCTAATATATATAGAGATAACTTCTTGCGCTGAAAATACCAATCTGAACAAACTTATGGGACAGCCACAGCCCTAGTTGCGCACATTTTTCGTCGTTGCGCATTATGCAGTATACGCTAATTCTTCATGCATAATTTCCGAGGTGCATATTCGTGTTAGACCCTCTTCAACAGACAGCCAACACTTATTGCTTGCAACTAGCGCCGGTCGAGAAAAACCGTAACACTTTTGGAAGGATTAGATGCAGAACAAGAAGGCGGCGTGGCGTTATGGAGCAAGGCTACGCCGCATTCGCTTGCGATATATCCTGAGGACCCTTTGCGTTGCGTCGCTCCTAATTGCAGTTGCAGAGGAGCTAGCGCTACCCAACGGATTGAGCCTCTCCTTATTCTTCATAGATAAAAAGATCCAAATGTAAACGCATTTCGAGACTTCTTCATCATATAAAATATGAGGAAGAAGTGTCTGCAAAGCAAGACAAGAAAAAGTAAAAGATAAGGAAGTTAATTTCTCTTGGGAAGTCAGTGACGGAAAATTTCTATTCTTTTTCTCTGTTAATACTCGTGTTCCACTTCTCTTGAACCCTTTTAACCCAAATACAGTATTGGATCATCCCATAGTCAGCCTTTGACTTATCCCTAAGATTCATCTACTTATTTGAACATATCAGGTTGTAGTAATAGGGAATGGCTTGATCCGCTGTCAGGGACAGCGCTACTTTGCGGCTGCAATTAAAAGCGACGCAACGCAAATGCCCCTCAGGATATACCGCAGGGAAATGCGACGTAGCTTTGCTCCATAACGCCTGCCCCCCGAACAAGAAAGGGGCATCGAAAATGGACCAGTGCTTTCGGAAAAGACATAATAGTGTAGAGCAGCTATATTTTCTTGCATACAGCATGAAATCACTAAACCTTGATCGGAGCCATTTATTCAAATTAGCTTTCGCAGTACAATGATCAATGGCGAACTTTGAATTGCCTTAACTCTTTTTTCATTGTAAATCCTAAGATGTACTTGGTGAGCAAATCATCAAATATCACATCAATAAAGCGGAGTCGCCGTTAATTGCAGCCGTATTGTCTACCACGGGAGTACTAGCAGTGTTGGATTCAGGCTTGGTGTTATGTCGTACGTCGATGGTCTTAATACCTGCTATGGAAAGGCTAAGAGTAGAGAATGTGGCACGTACCATATTGTTGGTTGTTTGAATGATATCGCATGGAGCGCTGTAGTCGGCTCCATTGACCCAGTTGTAAATCATTTGAAGAGTTTGCATGGGTCGATCTAGTGGTACAAAGTGGCCAGCTCCCTAAAATATGGCAGCACTTTTAATTGTATTTCAATCACTTTTACAGGGTTTGCTACAATAATTAGGCTGGAAGCTAAATTTTGCACTACTTTCATAACTCAACTCTCTTTGCTTGGCGCACTCAAATTCATTTGACCAGATGTGTTTAAATTTTGAAATCGAATTAAAAAAATTTTAGGCATTTTTCGAAAACTAGTGAATTTTGAGAATTTTTAGGGTTTTAATGCAAAATGATGTTAGCAGTCTGAGAATTTTTAGGGTTTTAATGCAAAATGATGTTAGCAGTCTAGACCATCCGCAATAATCCGGATTTGTCTGCTAATTGTTGCTAAAGGTTGACTTATTCGGCTCAGCAAAAAAGAAATAAAATTTAGCGGCAAGTCGAGATATGGCGCCCTCATAATCTCGAGAGTGTTGCTGTACGCAAAGCTGCTGGGGCCAGCCGTCAATAACTAAGGAGTCGGAGCCACAAAATTCCCCGAGCCTTTACATATTAAGGTTTTTTGACCTGTTAAACGCGAATACCATATTCATCAACTGAATCGACGCATCGCTCCTCGTTTAGGATGGATTCGTACACCTACAGTAATCTTACAAGAAAGCCCTTATCACGCAACCTTAGTATCACCTTCGTGATCAGCATGTCGAATAACCTCCCTATGTCAAGTTTCAGCCAAATTTGTCGGATTTCATAAGTTTTTCCCTTCTTACCGTATAAGCGTCGTAACCCTCACTGTGACGTCAAAATTTGGTAGAACAGAAGCTGTGCTTGCAGCTTACGTCATAAACAACGCAATGGCAAAATTAGAGTGCGCCATGTTGGTTGATAGGAAAGTTGCTTAAGTTGCAAAACTTAGTTTCCAACCTAATAGTTTAACCCAACAATTCTTACTTTCACCGTCAATACATCGATATTCTTCGAGTACCTTCGTGCAAACCCAGCCAGAGTTGGATGATGGAGCGGTCCGCTTTGATAGAACCATGGTTCCCGTGCTGGTAACTGCAAGAATCGAAGTAGATCTTTCATTATTGTAGACGTAATAATTATTTACGCTAAAGCCTATGCTATCTGTAAAATAGTGCATGGTTAACCACTCAGCATCCATCCAGTCGCATACTGTGTCTACATCTCCATAATAGAGCAATATTGAGAAGTTGCTGGTGTCATAATAGGAGCTGAATCGGAGCAAACTGACTTCACATTTCTATAATAAAGTCTTTGGTGCTAAAACAGGATTTTTCAGTAGCGCACTGTTTGTTCACGCTCTCTAGCCTTTCCTTTCTCTATAGGACATAGTATTAGGATGGCGGATAATTTCCATTACACTGTTTCCTATGTTTTTTGGAAAAAAAAGAAAAGGTTACGAGAGTCTCCAAATTTGGGCCATACTTAGTTCATAGCAGGCTCTACCCGAATGGCATGGTTGTGTCACAAATGCACAGATGACTAAAGAATGTAAAACAGTTTTGTGAGCACACTTAGAAATTTCTTTCTCCAATTTTCTTCTCTGCACCTATCGGTGCTTTTCCTTTTCTACGATTTTTCTAAAAATGTATTTCTGCACTGTCTCTTATAAAGGGGTAGTCCAATGCCTCCAGCGTTTCATTAACGAGGATTGAAAAAAACATCAAAGATCCTTTTCACGTGCGTGTACAGAAATCAATACAGAAACCTGAAAGTAACTTTTCTGATGCCACTTACCATATTTAGATAAACTGACGAACAGCAATGATTACACAGCCCATGTGCAAACCATATCATTCAGTGTATTGACACTTTCGTTACATCACTATCTACTTAATAATGGTAATTCGGATCTCTTATGCATTCACTGTTGTGCTCTTTTTAGGAATGGTTCATACTTATTTGTCAGGAATATTATATTTGATCACTATGGAAATATGGAAGTTATGGAAATTGATGCAAAAAAGAAAAGAAGAATAGCTTTGCAAAGTCCAAGCATTATTCAAAAGAATGAGAAATCATGAGTGAGTACTTAGTTGTAGTCTAACTTGCTGTAACCTTTTGATTATAATTTTCTGATCTACAGTTCATACGTTCATGTTCTTCAGTGTTGTCGTTCCCTGAGCTCACTTACGTAAAAATCAGTGATCGATATTCATTGTAATACGTAAGCTCTCGCGAATTTCTTGTTGTGATCCACTATTTTTCTTCGGAACATGATCAACATTATGCAATCATGTCTCTGAGCTACAAAAAATTCAATAGTTTTGGTAACGTTTACATCAGCTTAACGTTTTGACAACTTACGGCCATGTTGTAAAGTAGCCCCGTACGATGCACATGCACTGAATCGCTTGTGACCAAATCACGATTCAAATCGAAAAGTGGCTTACTGCTCCAGTGTGAAGATAATTGGCCACATGGCATGACTTTTTGACATCTCCATCAGCAGTGGCAAGTCAATCTTCTACAGTACAGAGTTTAAAGTCAGCTAAATGTTAACTTATTCTACGGTAGACTTATCACAACCAAGTGGTGTGTGTACAGCGTATACTTTCGAATGCGATGAGAGCGCACTTGTGTGGACATCAGAAATGATCGCTTGAATAGCATCATGATCCGGCTTTCAAACACAGTCTGCCCCAATCCTAGTCAGGCCGAAATTGGCATGGCGGGAGTCCACCGCTAAAGTTTTGCGTTACGCCCACGGCCTGCTTGTCTGCCCTCTTTTCAGTCTATTCCCTCTCTCGGACAGGGCGCATACGCGGTGCGACTCCTTACGCTGCGAGCGCGCAATACACCTTAAAGGCAGTGGCTCGGCAATTCTCAACTTAGTGTCAAATTTTCGCTTACCTGGTTATTGAATACGCTGATCCAGAAAATCCACTTTAGAGAGCTTAGAAACGGTGAAAATGAGCGTTTTGTAATGCCCTTCCTTGGAATTGGACGAGCAAAAGGCTAATAACGCTGAATGTTGCGGGACCCAACGGCTACAGCATTGCGGCGGGCAGCCTCCAGTGGTGAGAAGGAATTTGCCAACTCGTACGGGCGCGTGTAAAATTGGTTTGCGCGTGCAAGCTTGAGAGCAATTTTCTCGACAGGAAAGGCATGCTTCGCAACGGGATTGCACTGCTTTCATACTTGGGCGATAAGGTACCTACTGCGTTTAAATCCTGAATTATTATGTTCTGCCGATCCACTGCCTTTAACGGTTCGGCCTGATCCCAATTGGGGCAGACTGTAGCAAACGCCGCAAAGACAAGACAGAGAATTTGATCTTTACCTGCCCCACTACCCTCTCTACCCTCGCTTGTGGGCTATACACAACTCAATTAAAGAATATCATAATTTTGATTTTGCGATATTTATTGCACGGTTTACATGCGGAGGAAGGTATGATTGTTAGTATAAGAAAGCAGTTATCGTGAAAAAAATGAAAACAATTATTCTTTTATGGCGCGCCACGAAAAACGTAAAATTAAAAAAATAAAAAAAATTATAAATTTTGGTAGTTATAATGCCTTATACACAGCTGATCGAAAAATTTGAATCGAGGCTTCTCCGGTGTTGATATGCTGCTTTGAGGTCTAATAAAGGTATACTATAGTATTATATTAGGTTGTAACAAAATTAATGCAGGTTTTGAATTCCAACCGCAACAAGTCATACACTTCTTATTTCTAACTAGGTTGCGAAGCAACATTCGATAGAGCAAAGCAAGCTCTACAAGAAGGCCATCTTGCTTTAGCAACAACTCTGATCCACCACGAGTTTTGAGCCAATAACTAAAAAGATTCAACTGCCCGAAAAATTGAGAAAAATCGTAACTTAATTCATAAAAAACCTACAAAATTCTAACTTGCTCACGTAAACACTATTCGCATAAGACATCTATATACGCCTTTGCCGTATTTTTTTCTCTGTTAGAAATCAAGTAAACGGAAATCTTCGTGCATTTGCCAAAGTGTTGCTGTGCCGTTCCCACATAAGTAATGTATACTACAAATCTGTAGAAGTAACGTAAATTTTCAGCTTTCTACAAGCTTTAGTTCTCGAGAAATTTGAATTTTTGCTTGGACCACATGACTAGCGAAAACTGTATTCGATATTTTTAGAGAACTAAAGCTTGTAGAGAGCTGGAAATTCACATTTATACTTCTACAGGTTTGTAGTATACAACTACGTATGTGGGAACGACGCAGCATCACTTTGGCAAAAGCAAGAAAATTTCCGTTTTCTTGATTTCTAACAAAGGAAAAAATACGGCAACGGCGTACGTAGATGTCTTATGTGGATAGTGTTTACGTGAGCAAGTTAGAATTTTTGTAGGACTCCTATGAACTGAGTTATGATTTTTCTCGATTTTTCGGGCATTTGAATCATTTTAGTTTTTGGCTCGAAAATCGAGGTGGATCAGAGCTGTTGCTAAATCAAGATCGCCATCTTGTAGAGCTTGCTTTGCTCTATCGAATGGCACTTTAGATCCTATTTAAGAATGAAAAATATATGACTTATTGCGGTTGGAATCCAAAACCTGCATTAATTTTGTTACAACCTAATACGAGTTGTTCAGAATAGCAAATATGAGGATTATGGATGTGCAGGCTAAATTCTACAAACCGAAGCTGACAAGGGACCGGGAGACGAATGGGGGAGGTCTATTTCTTTTTAGATCAAAATAACGAGCGGGACTAGCGGCAGCCAAAGACGTGTTAGTGGTATCTCGAGTATTCCTAGACTATGTCAATAAAAAACTCCCATTCGGCTCAGTCAAACTGAGATGACTCAAGAGAAGTCCTAAGTTAAACTTGACCGCTCACCTTTTCATGCTTAAAATGGTCAGTTGAGCGGAAAGAAGACCGTCCGAAGTGGCACGGTCTGTTCATTGTAATTTCACCAAGTTGAAGGTAAATCCTATGTTAAACTGTATGTGCAAAAATGGATAATCAGACAAAAAACCCGTCTAACGGGGTTTTTGTCTGATTATCCACTTTTGGGGACAAACTTAAGGGACATTTTAATCAACGTATTGTTACAAACAGGTTTGTTTTATTTGCAAAACTCGCTTTTCTTTCGAAAGCTGCTCAAACGGTTTCTTTATTTATTTTAATTAATTCGTGTTTTTCCAAGTTTTTTATTTCATATTTTATTGAAAAACCTGGTTTTCTTTTTCATTCATTTGTAGGTAATTTCCTTGATAGCGGCCGTCATCAAATTTTTTTGGATAGTGTATCGAAAATGGCTGGACAATGCTGCAGAAATCCGATGCTGGCCTTTCTCGAGCCTGGTTGTCAGGGCTGAACCGCACTCACCTAACCGCTTGACCAAATCTGCTCAAGCAGTTCAGGTATTTCCTCTTCAATAACACGCACAAACCTCGCGTCCAAAAAGGGACATCCAAATCATTAGCTCACTGGATGCCAGACTGAGGCGTCCTAGGTTCAACTTAGCCCCCCCCCCTCCCCATCAGAATCGCACTGGAGGGGGGGGGGGGTTACTACATGCCTACGGAGGCTTATTCCGCTTAGCCGGTTTATCCACTTTGTCCTCTTCGCTGCCGGTCAGTTCAATAAATTTGCCAGCGAAGATAGCGTGGACGAAGCGGTTTAGCGGATAAGTCTGACGCCTGCCATTGTTCTAGCGTAACGGATAGTGAGAAGGAGATCAGGGATGTAATTAAGTTTAGCGAAGGTCTGCCACACTTCAAAGGTAAGCAAACATTTTAGTCCCCAACTCTCCGGATAAGGAAACGAACAGAGGTTGCGGAGTCCATGGGGACTGCCAATTCAAGTTTTTACGCAACTTTTGCATCAAATCATACCTGTTGATCATGTAAGTCAATAACGGCTCAACAGTAGTACTTCGATTGTAGGTGGAATAGATGTTTTCACTGAAAACATATTTTATAGCATCAAGTCATCATGACAGATAGGAAAGATTCAGAAGAAAAGAGGGAAAACATTTGCTTTCCTTTCAATGATTTAGGGCACATTTAACCGCTTTCTCAACTAACATTTGAGTTAGCAAAAAATTGTAGAGTTGTTCATCAGAAACATTTCCAAGAGTCCTGCATAATTTTGAACAGCATTTTCTTACAGCACCGCGAAACAGCGTGGTAGGTCGCTCAGTGTTTTTGCTGTGAATTTCAATTGAAACTGCGGACAAAATTTTTCTGGACTAGTTGAAGGAATGAAGAAATACATAAACACCAAAGAACTTGATATAAAACTTCGAACAATTTTTGGCCTTCCATTGTTGGGTAGAAATGACATTAGCATGATACAATGAAAAAACGATTCATGGGTTACATGGATATCTTACCTGTTACTTACCCACGCCGCAGCAATCGTTGGAATATTTAGAGCACTTCTCACAGAATCAAGATTCATATAAGTAGTAAGTGATGCGTTTTTGTAGCAGTAGTAGCCCATATACGGATCGGAAGAGTCGTAGTTGTTCCCAGTCTGAAGGAAACGTTTTCACAACTTTCACTGGAATTTTTTGCGCATTTCTTACCCAGGTGTCACCAACAGGAGCGGTTTGATTACTGGTTTTTTGCGTGTAGCATTGCTGGTTAAGGTTGTAAATAGTAGATCCACCAATCATAAATTTGTATACTAGCTCAACCTGTGAAATTTGTCGCAACTTAAGCTATTTTTCCTTCCCACCTAATGACAACCAACAAAAACATGGCACTGATTGTCTGAACCATTGCTCGAGGCTAACTTCCCATATGCAAAACGTGGACGAAGGCGACAGTTCAACTCATCCGTAACATTTCCACAGCAAAGCGACACAAGTATATTGTAGATCCTGCAACACAGTGGATCATTTTGTAAAAAGCCGCAATTCTTATGCTTACTCCTGGGTCAAATATCCATGGTAGTACAAAAGGTGGATTGAAAAATCCATCACATTTTGTTTGCTTAGCAGCCCATTTCCTATAGCCATGCCCTTCAATAAGGAGTTCTTGAATCAGAAATATTGAAAGATGTCAATATTTACCCTGTAATTTATGCTGAGCGTTCCGTTTTGTATACCCTGGATTAGTAGTACCGAGAGGGCTGGAATATACATCCCAGCGTAGGATTCACCAGTAGCATAGAAAGGTCTGGTACGATACTCTGGATAGAGGTTGAAGAAGTCTATTAACGCTGCATAGTTTTCCGCCGCGGTCTGCTCAGAAAAACCGAATTTCTTTGTGCATGCGCAAAAAAGAACAAATCACGATAGGATCAAGCTTGCGGTTAAGCCGCCCAACCTAAGAGTCATATTGGGAGGATAGGAAGCAAGGGTGGTAAAGAACCAAAATTGTTCAAAATGAAAATATGTATACGGCGATTCTGTAAAATGAGGCACGAAGCGCATCGGTAAATCATACGCTCCCAGCAGAAGCATAATTACTGCAAAGAGTGAATAGTGTGGCGAACATCATACGAAACATTACACCGATTCTAGGGTCTAAACTCATCATATCTCACCATATACAATGACTGCCAAAAAGGTGCGGACTTCCCTCCTTTTTTCAGCATTCATTTTCGGGTTGAAAACCAGGATGGAAAAGTGATTGGATTGCATGAGGTGATAGAGCTCTTCGAGTGCTACAATCCACAAATTGCGCTTTCTGGAGAACATGTATTCTAAAAATTTTGAAAATCATTTTCTAGAAAAAGTCGGAAAATGGCTGTGTCTCAATGTCGCGGACAATAATTCTTCGAACGCGAAAATTTTCTTTTAGGTCTTTTTTGGGGCAAAACAGAAATTTTCCGGACAGGTAAGCAGACCATGTCATAGAGTTCATCGAGTACAACAATCAGGTAGTGGTTACGTGTGTTGTGTTCAAAAAATAACTTCTAATTTTTTCTTTCAAAGCAAGTTTCTTCACATGGAAACCTATTCAAGGCAACTCAACAAAGCTGTTCGGATAAAGTAGATGCTTACCATTCTTCATGCATCGGACGTGTGCTGGTGAGTTTCTTGGCTGAATATGACTCCTGACGATGCGTGCACATGACCCTACCTGCGCCTCACCACTGACTTGTACCGCTTTGCAGGCTTATAGCTCAGCCGTCAGGCAATCTATGAGCCTGTACTTAGGCAAATAGGCTCATTCGAAAGGGCGTGGCTTCCTCGACACAGGTATGCAAATAAGTTCAGTTTGAGCAATTCCCAGAGATTTGAGGAATGGTGTGAGGGCAGTTTCAGCTGTAGACTAAGCATTTTCCAGCTAGAGTTGAAAAGGGCTCCTTTTGCTACATTTCATCCTGAAAGTTTAAAACTGTCAATTTTCTTGTAATAGATCTATTTCGAAGCTCTAAGACTGTTCTAGGGCGGTATGTATCAATCGCCCGTCCGGGCAAGTAACCCGGACAGGTAGTTTCCGCTTCGTAGCTCAGTGCTCTGAGGATCTGTGTCCTTGCTTTTCGCTCATATTTTGGAGGCTCTACTACCCTAATACTGTAGCACAATAAATAGCAGCACTTTGCTGTTTAAGCTGAGATAATTCGTTATTTGTATGATCCCGAACGGGTCCCACTTATCACGCTCATTTTCAAAGTTATTTATAACCGAAAAACTCAATGAAAGTCACAGAGTTTTGCTATCGATCTATTACGACAGTGCTAAGCATGCTTTTAGTAACACAGATGAAATGTACAACTTCTGAGTTTTTCGATAAAGCCCAACTCGCAAGCACAGGTCCATCGAAGATTTTTTCAGCTTGATTTTTCACTTATTTCTTTCACAAACATGCTTAGCGCACTCGTAGTAAATCGACAGCAAAACTCTGTGACGTTTTCATTGAGTCTTTGCGGATATATATAACTCTGAAAATAAGCGTGATCAGTGGGAATTCCGCGATCGGAATCACACAAATAACGAATTATCTCATCTTATACAGCAAAGTACTGCTACTCGTTATGCTACAGTATTAGAGTGGTAGAGCCTCTAGAGGATGGACAAACAAGGAAGAACACAGATTCCCAGAGCCCGAGCTATGAAGTGGAAACTACCTGTCCGGGTAACTTACCGGAACGGGCGCTTGATACATACCGCCCCTGGCGTTCATAAGAGCCTTCACTCCAATCACCTCTAAGGCTGCATTTTTCTACCCCATCCGTCAAATCTCTAGGATAGCCCACATTTAACTTCTTTGCAATATCGTGTCGAGAAAGTCACGCCCTTTCGAAGAGCCTAAGTATAGGCTCATAGATTGCCTGAAGGCTGAGCTACAAGCGTGCAAAGCGGTACAAATCAGGATGAGGCGCAGGTCGGGTCATATGCACGCATTTCCAGGAGTCATTTTCAGCCAATAAACTCACCAGAACACGTCCGATGCATGAAGAATGGTAAAGAGCATCTACTTTATCCGAACAGCTTTGTTGAGATGTCTTGAACCAGGTTTCCATGTGAAGAAACTTGCTTTGAAAGAAAAAATAAAAGTTATTTTTTTGAACACAACACACGTAACCACTATCTGATTGTTGTCCTCGATTAGCTCTATGATGTAGTATGCTTACCTGTCCGGAAAACTTCTGCTTTGCTCCAAAAAGACCTAAAAGGAAATTTTCGCGTTCGAAGAATTATTGTCCGCGACATTGTGACGCGGTCATTTTCGGACTTTTTCTAGATAATGATTTTCAAAATTTTTAGAATACATGTTTTCCAGAAAGCGCAATGTGTGGGTTGTAGCTCTCAAAGAGCTCTATCACCTCATGCAATCCAGTCACTTTTCCTTCTGGTTTTCCATCCGAAAATGAACGCTGGAAGAAGGAGGGCAACTCGTCCGCAACTTTTTGGCGGTCACTGTATACCCACAGTAAGCCCCGCGACATTTTCTTGTGTTTCTTAACGTACAAAATGCCCTTATTAAACGAGATAAGCTTGGCTTTAGCAAACACAAGTCACCTTTTTATACTCATAACAAAGCATGAGTAATTTTATTGACTATGCTAAAAATTTCATTTTGTATCGTTCTCAACCATAGGATACAGAGTGCTCCCAAAATTCTAATTACCGCGTTATCCATTTTGAGTGTTTTCACTCAATGGATCACCACATGGAGTGAAAATAATTATAACAAAAGTAATCGAAGTAAGCCCATACACCCAAAATAGAACTAAGAGCTTTCGGCTAATGAAGGACATAAATGATTGAAAAAGCTCCACTGGAGATAGATCAAATGAGTCAGGCGTCACCCCAAGACCCTCGCTTCACCCACTCAACTTACAAATTCGTCCGCTACCGCTCCATTTTTGTTATGATTAGTTAGCTCAATGACTGTTAGTGCCACGGTACTTTGTTCCTAAACCCTCCTTTCCTGAGAAAGTTATGACTTTCGAGAAAATTCATGTCCAAAGGAAATTCACCATCGATCATACTGTTGTAATGTGTAGTAGTGTCCAATTGCAGGAAACTAGGTTTACAGACTTCAAAATTTGAAAACTCCTAGGTTTGTTGTTGTTCAAGTAGGCGTGCGAGGAGGAGAGGTCGTATTTAAAGAGCCCACGTTGCGCCTTCTTCAAATTAAAATAACTCATTGCGACGCTCTCCCATATGGTTGACTGGGAGGACTCACCACTTCATCTGTATATTGCGGCAACACGCCATCCGTTGAATACGAGTAGCCCACTCCTACAGGCGATTCCAGGTACAAGACATTAGCAAACTATAATTGGAGTATACCTATCGTTTGCGCAACATCCTGTATGTGAGCATATCTTATTCCAAGAGTGAGGATTACTCGTAATTGTGAAGCCGTCCTTCCCTATTCTGAATGGCCCATTATCGAATAAGCCGAAAAGAGAGCTGGCACCGGGTCCACCATTGAGCCACAGAAGTAAGGGTGCTTTAGCTGGATCGTTCTCTGATTCCACGAGCCTGAAACTGTAGTTTGGTCTGATTGATGAATTGATTTCTGAATACCAATAATGCAGCATATGGGTGTTAGATCCTCTGAGAAATCCTGAGTATTGCTTGAATGGTAAGCTCCACCTCAAACCCGGCATCGAGACAATAAGATCAGATCCCTAAAAGTTCGTAGTGAACCATATCATACCGAAGTCAGCGATAGCCAACTCTGCGAGTACAATTTGATGGTGATGACGATGGAGATGACGCGATGCTTAACCCTTTAGGACCTGACTTTTTCCAGTAAGAGAGAGAACTGCTCATCTTCTGTTTATGATAGGGTAGCGTTCGAATAACAATACAGCGAAGTTTGGAACTTTTTCGACAACAAGACATTTTTATTTTTGATTTTTTCTCCCATCCTTCTTTCAATTTTTTAATTTTTTCCAACAAACATGAAATCGCGTGCTCATAGCAGATGTGCTCGCGTGACATCATACTCCACACTTCTGTTAATAGTATAATTTTATTTCATCTATCTGGGAAGATAGTTGATAATTTTTCAGCAGATGCTGTGACAGACAACCGTTATCGATTTTTTGTTACTGTTGCGCACAAAGATTCGCACATTGCTAGTACCACCATGAATGAAATGGGGCTTGCAAATCACTATTAGGAAGGCAAAGGTTATCTGAAGCTACATGTAGCAATAAGTAGTAAAAATCTGCTGTTGCGCCAGTAACACTGCCCTTTGAAGTTGATGGTGGCAATTGCCACCACCAGATCCCAAAGGGTTAATATCATCCTAAGATTTGGAGAAGAATTCTAATTTTTTGGTTGGGAAGTGTTGAAATCAGCGCAATTAAGTAGAAAAGATTTACAAATTTGTGATTACAAAGCTCACTCTAAGAATAGGTGTGCTGTAATCATCATGGTTGTTCCTTAAGAAGTTGACGGACATCTGAAGAGTTTGTGCAGGGCGATCCGTAGATGGAGCATGGCCGGTGCCCTAAAATATAGCACACTCAACAGCTAGGGCGGCCCCACGAAAGTCAAGAAAACTTGCTTAGTGCATATAAAATGATATGTCTAAGGCAGTCTTAAACGCTGATTTCAAATCTGTATACCATTTCTGCGAAACGCTCTTCTGAAAGGAGTTATGGAAGTTTGAAAGTCCTGACTTTGAGAGCTACTTAAGTTTATGGACGTTGTAGTTCTTAATAGTGTAGTGTTAGCGTGCTGGCATTGGAGTCTAGAAGTCAAGGGTTCGTTCCAAAGGAGAGCAAACCATTTACAGTTTGAGGGTGAGTTTGATATGCACTTGTACTCGTCTACAGAACACAAGAGTAATGTTTTTGACATATATGGTCCTAAAAAAGGCGCATTACCTGATATAGCTGATTTTGACAAGTGCCTGAAGTTTCACTTGACTCCCTTACCAATAAAGCGCAACCAAACATGGTGAAGCTGTACATCACCTTATAAAGCTGAAAAAATTCACACCATTCAATTCACAATTCCACAAACAAAATTCGTAGCAGTTTTCTTGACGAGGCCAGCATGCTGTGCACTCGTGCATTCGGACTTGCTCTATTATACAATACCGCTCACAGAATGTGCAAAATTTCCGTAAATGTCGCAGAATTCCGAGAATTCCGCGAAGGTTCGCGTCCGGGAATTTTGCGACATTCCCGGAATTTCGCGACATTCCCGAAATTTCGCGAAATTCATGTAAATCACGCAAATTACGCAGGGCCATGACTTCGTTCCCAATGAGTATAATCAAAATCCGAAAACAGCATTGTATTCAGCTCGTTAAGGCGAATCTTTTCTTATACAGGTTGTCTCCAATATCCTCTTTTCAATAATCTTGAATCTGCATGCGGAGCTTTTTCGCGTGGGTGTAACGCAACAAGCATCACACATAGGAGATTGCGGCGAGCACCCTTCGATAGTACTCTTTCAGTAGATTATTCTGCGCTAAACAGCAGCCGAAGACTCTCTTTTAAAGGAGATAGAAGAGCTGATAAACTCTGGAAAAATCAAGCTGTTCCAAGTTCTACTAGCCTTAACTTCCTTCAGAATGAACATCTTCGGAATCCGAAAACAGTATTGTGTTCAGCTCGTTAAGGCGAATCTTTCCGTATACATCCTTGAAATTCCATTTCCAATTTTTCAAAATTTTCTGCGCGCGTATATTCGCAAGGTCGCAACGCAGCGCACATCAAACATAAAAGACTCCAATAAGCACTATTGGATTGTGCTGCTCCCGCAGATTACCGAGCGCTAAAAACGAACTGGAGAATCTTTTTCGAAAAAGTTAGAAGAGCTGGTGAATTCTGGAAAAATCGTGTTGTGTCAAATTTTGCCCACTGTAACCCTAAAATGGGAAGCTCTCCTGCTAAGCAGATGTGCTTTTCGTAATCAGCAGGTCAGATAACCTCTTTGAGCGAAGTTTCCTTATAATCCAAGATCATCGACATTTTCACCAAAACCCATCGGCGAGCTTCAGGGCGTAGAACGAGAAAAAATCAAATCACCCGAACTTCTTTGAAAACTTGCTCATAGAGGTTATCTGACCTGCTGATTACGAAAAGCACATCTGCTTAGCAGGAGAGCTTCCCATTTTAGGGTTACAGTGGGCAAAATTTGACACAACACGATTTTTCCAGAATTCACCAGCTCTTCTAACTTTTTCGAAAAAGATTCTCCAGTTCGTTTTTAGCGCTCGGTAATCTGCGGGAGCAGCACAATCCAATAGTGCTTATTGGAGTCTTTTATGTTTGATGTGCGCTGCGTTGCGACCTTGCGAATATACGCGCGCAGAAAATTTTGAAAAATTGGAAATGGAATTTCAAGGATGTATACAGAAAGATTCGCCTTAACGAGCTGAACACAATACTGTTTTCGGATTCCGAAGATGTTCATTCTGAAGGAAGTTAAGGCTAGTAGAACTTGGAACAGCTTGATTTTTCCAGAGTTTATCAGCTCTTCTATCTCCTTTAAAAGAGAGTCTTCGGCTGCTGTTTAGCGCAGAATAATCTACTGAAAGAGTACTATCGAAGGGTGCTCGCCGCAATCTCCTATGTGTGATGCTTGTTGCGTTACACCCACGCGAAAAAGCTCCGCATGCAGATTCAAGATTATTGAAAAGAGGATATTGGAGACAACCTGTATAAGAAAAGATTCGCCTTAACGAGCTGAATACAATGCTGTTTTCGGATTTTGATTATACTCATTCGGAACGAAGTTATGGCCCTGCGTAATTTGTGTGATTTACATGAATTTCGCGAAATTTCGGGAATGTCGCGAAATTCCCGGAATTCTGCGACATTTACGGAAATTTTGCACATTCTGTGAGCGGTATTGTATATTTAAAGTGTTAGCATCTATTACAAGCATTACATTGACTATCGACATTCCTAAAATTTCGGAATAGTGTTTTTCTGTAGACCCCATCGTTTATCTTCAACACTGTTTTGAAGACGCGTAATCTGCGAGAAACTTCCGTCAGAAACAGTTGCCGTCTCAGTTTCTTTGATATCTTATCAATTACCGCCTACCAGGACAAACCCAGAACTTTCGGGGGATGGGAGGAGAAATTTTTAGATAAAGGTGCATGGCTAACGCCACGCAGCGCGAAAAAATCTTGGGGGGTGCTTTTCATATTTTTGTGGGCCCGTAACCCCTAAACTCCAAAAAAAGGAGAGTGGCGGCAGCCACATCCACAAAATTCTTTACAAGGCTGATTGGAATATTTTGAAAATTTTAAAAATTATTTTGATTATTTACAAGAATAAACGAGTCCTTTGCATATCTTTTACTCAAATAAGTGAATAAGTAAACTTGTAAGTAAAGTCCGTGATCTGTAAAATATTAGGGTTATCTAAAAGTAATGGGGCACCTTGATTTTTTTTTACATTCTTCAAGATTTTTTTCTGATTAGCTATGAATGCCCAGCATTTTTAACGCCTTTGTATAAAGTAACCTTCGCAGGTTATCTTGACAGCACCTTGCAGCACCTCACCGACATTTCTCCGAATGGCGCTTCAAAGATGTCAGACAGACTTTTTTGAAGCCATCCGAATTTGGGCTGCTGCACCTGATAGTCCCTCGACATATGGCGTACCATTCGAAAGAGCTTTCCAAGCTCTTTTCAATGATTATTTGAATATCCAAAAATTGCCCATTATCTTACACAAAAAAGCACTTTATTCGAAAAAGCGCGGTGTTTGGCGCAGATTTTCAGACTAAAATTCATGGAAAATGAGAAAAGCCGAAGTAATTTGCATATGTATTGATAGAGCGTAAAAAACACTATCAGAAAGCAACTGCTAAGTTTGATCTTATTTGATTACCTTGATGAAAGAATAAGTAATATGTCTCCTGATACCCAATACTATATCTTCTCTTCTAAAGCCTTGGGAGCACCGAGCTATTGTGGATTTGGTGACAGTCCCCTCACTCATTACTGCGCACATATCTCTGATAGGCTCACTTGTTTTACTGCGGCGCTGCTGCTCGAAGTTCAAAATTACTTGAAGTGATGAGCTTTAATTCTAAGCGCTTATAAAAATAACGCCACGTAACAGTGCCCAACCATAGATCTCTATCAGAAGGTTTTGTTATGTACTAACATCTGTCAAAACTTGGACTTCCAACTAGCTTTTCTATTTGAGAAAACTGCATTTATTCTCTAGCTGCCCCATTACTTTTGGATCACCCTAATATCATAACTTATAATAGAAAGCCAAGCGTCTGTCTTGTTGTACGAGTATGTGTATGTTTGTCTGTACGAAATTCATTGAGGGAGCTGCAACTAAGCTATCGAGCTACAATTTTGGACAACATACCGACCGGCATGTGGGTCCACTGTGCACAATGACGAGCCGGTTCGATAGGCGGATCTTCCAGAATTTGCGCGTCAAGCGGGTCCACATGGCTTTTGGCATGCAAAACTAGGTCGCTAACTCGATTTTTGCAAAGTCATGATTTGCCTGACAAGTAAATCTGCGCCCCATGAATTCTAGCCCAAAAAGTGCTCAAAAAGTTTGCTTTTCTGCAAAAACAGCGTCAAAAAGTGGCGATCGCATCAGAGATGCGATAGGGGGAGCCGGGTCCCCCAAAAGTGAAGGTGGTTCCAGCTACCACTGGCCGGCCAAAAGTGAAGGTGGTAGTGCCGGACACTCACCTCCCAAAAACGTTGACCGGGGGCGGGGGGGGGGGGGGGGGGGTAGAGAGGGGGGGGAGAACACAGGACGGACTTTTGGGTTTTGATTTTTCTTGCTGAAACTGGAAAAAGGAAATTAAGCAAAACGAACGCAAAAGAAAGTTTTGAGAGCAGTTCTGGTAGTTTATTTTTAAAAAGTCGCTGTCGCTTACTGCGAGCACCTGGAGGCCATCACCGGCATGGACGCATATACGCCTCAGACTTTCTACGATAGAGCAAAGCTTCATAATGACTTCGGATAAAAGAGTTCTAACTCAACGGTCCTCTTTAGGGCCACAAATACGATGAGTACAACTGCATAAAATATTTCATATAAACGTATTAATGAAATAGTATATTTGTGAGTGACACTCAGCTAGACTTTATGTGTTTTATCAAGTACATTTTGCTATGACGTACTGCGAAGAAATAGGTCGATCCAGGCAGTAACCGCCGAGAACTAGAATTTTGAATGATAAAATAATGGAAAATCATGAGATGATTCCATTGTTATAAATCTGCTGGTTGAAGACCTCAGCAATTGCGGCTTTATATGTTTTGAAGGTTAAGCGTTGTTCTATCAGATAGTGCAGGAATCAGTTTGATTTGAGGAGTGACCGCCAAGAACGGGAATTTTGAAAAATCACGCGATAGTTGAGTTGCTAAATGACAACTGGCATTTAAACTTTTATAAATCCGGACTTTGAAGGTGTGTGATGTTGCGACTTCATATTTTTTGTAGGGCGAGGTTTGCTCTATCAGAATATATCTTAGCTGTACCGATCCATTGAAACGTCGCCGAGATCCAGGCCCTTGTATAAGCAGGTAAAAAGCCGTTTCAACTCATAACTTGTTCAGAACTGCATGAATCATGTTGCAACTTCATAGGTTAGATTCTCCTCTTCAAGGGCTCTCAGATGATATATAATATGTGGGGGATTCAATGTTTCTTGCGGCTCTAACCCGGGTGGACTACTTCTCTTCACTACTTCTCCACCCCGCCCATTTCAATGTATTGGTGGAAGGCCGCCAAATTTGCTTAAATGGTCCAGTGTCCAGTATCAGAGCTGTTTATGCAATAGATTATGACCGTTCTTCGGAACGAAAAATGAATGCAGAATTCAGGTAAAATTGATTTTTACAATCTTTCCAGCGCTCAGATAAAGCAATGTTGAGTATTAGCATATCAAATAAAATGCGTAAACATTGCATAAACAGCTCTGATACTTGACACTGGACCATTTGAGCAACTTTGGGCGATTTTGCTTCAGTTTTGCG